AATCTCTTTGTTCGCAGTTTTACTCTACTACACACCAGGGAGTGATCAGTATACAAACAGCACTCTGGTAACTGCATGTGATCGTAATACTAGGCAGGCTAGAACGTCTATTGAGGATCAAATTGAGCTGATGCCAATGCTTGGATCTTGGATGTCTCCAGGAAACTGTGTGTTGAAGCTTTGTATTAAAGAACGTGTTGCTGACACAAAGACCATAATAACAGCAAAACTCCAGCAAGCGTTGTCCATTTTCCTTCATCTTCCCGGTGCCAAAACAACCTAGACAAATGGGCCAAGAGTTGTGATCAGCGCCAATTCTAGCGTTAAAGTGTCCGAGATTGAACAACTCTCTCCAGGATTTCTTTTTATAGTAGCTGCCAAATCGTCATTGAATTTATCTTTGACTTCTATTGTAGACGACAGTGTTGGTGCATATGCACTAATGAGGGTAACTGGTCCCGCTTATAAGTGGAACTGCAGAGACAGGGATCTTTCACTGCCCACAGTAGGTGGAACAATGGATCTCAGCAGAGAACTTCTGACTGCAAAGTGGACACCATATTCCCTGGTCTCATTCAACAGTTTTCCCTGCCAGAAGAATAAGAATTTTTTTTCTTTGACAGATCCTGAGTCTGGCAATTTCGCCTCTTGCAGGGCAACAATGTCCATCTGCAGCCTACTCAGCTCCATGTCAGTGACAGTTGTCTTGTGCGTGTCATCTATTTCCTGCAGGTTGTCAGAAAAGCCAGCTGTCATTGTCTGAACATTCCAGGTGCCCAGCTTTAGGGCAGAGGTTTTCTTATGATTATTGCATGGTGCAGGGCTATCTATCTGCTTGTCGGCTTTCATCCCAAACCCCACACACCCCGTGAGGTTAACAGACCGTGGCGAAGCAGCACCTTACTGGCTGGGGGCTGCCCAGCTTAAGATGAGCAGTAGCTACCTAGTGAGGTGCAGTGACCTCTCTCACTGTCAGAAGTATTGTGGCAGTTTTAAGACTAGCAGGTTTATTTCATTGTGCATTTTCATGGATTATAGTGTACTGCCTCAGACATATAGTGTAACAATACTGAGGCCGAAGATTTACATACACAGTGTCCAGCATCGTCAGAAGCAGCTACAGTCCAAGAATTTGGTTGCAGTTCATGAAAGTTTAGGTTAAATAAAAGTTGTTCTTCTTTAAAATGCCAGGAGACTCTTAGGTGACTTTATAGCAACAGGCTACTTACATAGCTATTGTCTGTATAACATTTTTGTTGGGCTTTTAACTAACAAAAGCACACTGAATATACATTGATTGTGTTCTTGCAATTAACTTCACGTGTAATTTGACTCTGAAATGAGCTTAGATGCAAAATGTGTGTAGTGTGTAAATCAGTGAGAAATATTTGCCTTCTAGGTTTCCCCCACCCCTAAGTTTCCTGGCAACATCACTCTGTTGCAAATGAAAATACCACTTGTGCAATTTTCTAAGACAAATCCTCCTTGCAAATAGGACTCTGGAGAACAGGATTTGAATCCCCATTTAGCCACATAAGCTTACTGGGGGAGTGGAACTGGTAAAACCACTCCTTAAATATCTCGTTGTCGTTTAGTCGTGTCCGACTCTTCGTGACCCCATGGACCAGAGCAGGCCCTCCTATCTTCCACTGCCTCCCGGAGTTGTGTTAAATTCATGTTGGTCTCACTTACCTTTAAAAGCTATATTCTCATCCTCTGCCCCTTTATGGAATCCTGCCTTGTCATGGCAAAGGGGCTTGAGTAACTCAGAGAAGCTATGGGCTATGCCGTGCAGGGCCACCCAAGACAGACAGGTCATAGTGGAGAGTTCCGACTAAACGCAATCCACCTAGAGTAGGAACTGGCAAGCCACTCCAGTATCTTTGCCAAGAACGCCCCATGATCAGAAACAAAAGGCTTAAATATCTCACTTACCTTTAAAAGCTATATTACAGTCAATATAAGTTGGTTCAAACTTGAGAGCACAGAACACACTCATGGTACCAGCTGGTGGAGCTTGTTTGCAATCTGGACCTTCTCTTTTATTGAATAATGTATTTAACTTATTGCAGATGCAGTCAGCTAAAGTTAGAGGTACATGTTTAGATGTCTTACTGCATCAAACAGAAACACAGCAGCCACATAAGCTTACTGGGGGAGTGGAACTAGTAATACCACTCCTTAAATATCTCACTTACCTTTAAAAGCTATATTACAGTCAATATAACGTGGTTCCAACTTGAGAGCACAGAACACACATGGCATCAGCTGGTGGAGCTTGTTCGCAATCTGGACCTTCTCTCTTATTGAATAATGTATTTAACCTATTGCAGATGCAGTCAGCTAAAGTTAGAGGTTGGTTCAAACTTGAGAGCACAGAACACACTCATGGTACCAGCTGGTGGAGCTTGTTTGCAATCTGGACCTTCTCTTTTATTGAATAATGTATTTAACTTATTGCAGATGCAGTCAGCTAAAGTTAGAGGTACATGTTTAGATGTCTTACTGCATCAAACAGAAACACAGCTTTTTTCCTGTTGCTTTATTTTTAGATATCCCATGCTGTCCCGCCATGTACAGAGGCTGGGCAGAGATCAAATTTTTCGCTGGAATCTCACCCAAAGACTTCTTTGGAATAGACATGCTTTTCAATGTATGAAGAAAACTGAGTACTGTTCTTGGATTTTTTACCCCCACTTGAACCCTCTGGATTGTCCAGTGAATTGGAGTGGGTGTCCAAAGTTACTGCTTCCCCTGTTCTGGAACTGGCAGCTACCCAGCCTTGTGCAAAATTGTTCAATTCACCTCTGTACTGTTAAAATGAAATCTGAGGACGATGAGCCATCTTTAAAACGGACACGACATAGTAGTGATCAGGACATTTGTTGCAGTCCTAAAGATACACCATGTACCTCTCCTTCAGATGAAACACCACCATCTCCTTCTCAGGATAAAGAAAAAAATACTCAACAACCAAAAGGTACTTTATCATTTGTTCTTAATGTTCAGCTGTGTGTATACGTGCATCGGTGTTAGATAATGGATGGAGTGATTGACTTAGGAGACCTGGGTTCAAATCCCTGCTCAGCCATAGAAACTACAAAATGGAAATACTAAAACTACTGTAACATATATCTTGGAAGCCCTAATTGGGGCTGTGTAAGGCAGACATGATTTGACATGACATAACAAGGACATGTTATTCAAAGAAGAAAGTGAGTGTGGTTGGTGCTGTTGTATCAACCAGGCCACGAGATAAGATGACTTATGACATCCTTTCAAACTCTAATAATCAGGGTTTGGAAGAAGTTACTTTTTTGGACTAAAGCTAGCATGACCACTGCATGGGAAATTCTGGAAGTCCAAAAAAATAACTCTTCCCACCTTTGAGTCTGTGAAAATCTGTTTAGACTTAGACTGGGAAGAATTTGCATCATTGGCCATGAAACGAACATCTCTGAGCCTAAAATATATAATTCTCTCCTTAATTGTGAAAATAAAAGGAAATAACTTAGAAACAGCAACATGTGGTAAGGTAAAGAATAGCAGACTTTATCTTTGAGCCTTATTTTGAAAAGATGTGTCTGGTAACTATGATTATTACATTTGGTAATAAGAAACCTCAACTGATATTTAAACCATTGGTATGGGTGTCCGGCATGTGTATATATTTTATTTCGGTTTCTTAAGTCATTAGCAAATGTAATTATGCTGTCATCTTCTTCACAACTACCAGGCCCAAGAAGATACAAGCAGCAACTGGTTATCTAACAGCACTTTGCTGCTGCACTTTATATCAGTGCACTTGCATGATTAAAACTTAGCAATAAGGTTCTGACCGAAGTTTCCAGATTGGCTTGTCATAAGATAAAAGAATAAGATAGTTCAAATAATAATGGAAGTTGGCACCTGCAAGAGATTTCTGAGAAGATGTAGGTACAGTACCATCATTAGGGTGGCTGTTTCTTTAGTCAATGAACACTCATCTGACACCTGAAGGAACAGTAACTGGGGAACAATCCCTGATGCAGTTCTTGAGACGAGATGGGTTCATATTCAATTTTGCAGGTTCTCAGTAAAATAAATAAGTCCTTTAAGTAGAACTGAAACTGTCAGATGAAAAAGACTAAGGCATACTAACCCACATGTTTCGGCTTTTGTGTTTCATCAGGTTTAATCAAAAGGCACTGGGAATACTTTTGTCAGCAGAGCAAAAAAATGAAGGTCCTTGAAGAGGAGCAGCAGATCTTTCAGGATAGTAAGGACTCACAGGAAAAGTTTGATTTTACTGTGATGTCATACAATATCCTTTCCCAGGACTTGTTAGAAGACAACTCTCATCTGTACAAACACTGCCAACACCATATACTTGCTTGGAAGTATCGCTTCCCCAACATTCTTGCAGACATCAAACGGTTTGATGCAGATGTAAGTCAAAAGCTACTGGCTAGCTATCAGTAGAAAAGCAATAAGATACAGAACAACACAAAGTCAAAGTGCATCTAGGGCAGTACTTCCTAACCTTGGGGCCCCAAATGTTCTTGGACTACAATTCCGAGAAATCCTGGTCAGCATAGTTAGTGGTGAGGGCTTCTTAGAATTTTAGTCCAAGTACAAGTGGGGATTGGGAACTTCTGATCTAGGGTAATCTCACATATTACATTTGTGTGTATTGAATATATACCTCTCTCTGTTTCTTCAAATCCTCAAAATCAGCTTTTCTACCCAGTGTTCAGCTTTTAATTGTAAAATGTAGTCGCTGTTTACTTCTGAGTAAATATGCATAGAATTTTACTGTTAAGCATCCTATATAGAGAATGCTGAGTTGGCATTTTCGACTGTTTTACTGAAAATCAGTGAAACTTGGAAATGCTTCAGTTGGCAAGTTCTGCCACATCTATTTAATTAGTGAATACAGTGGTGCCCCGCATTACGACAACCATGCATGATGACGAAATTGCTTGATGATGACTTTTTTGCAATCACTATAGCGATCGCAAAACAATGGTTCCTATGGTTTTTTTTCGCTTTACGTCGATTAGGTCCCTGCTTCGCAAACCATTTGTTCGCAAAATTACGATTTTTCCAGCTCTGCAAAATGGCTTCCCTCCCTTCGCAAAATGGTTTTTTTCCGGACAGAAGCTTCACAACACAGGGATTTTAAACAGCTGATCGGCAGTTTTCTATGGGCGATCTTCGCTGGATGACAAGGTATTTCCCCATTGGAACGCATTAACCGGTTTTCAATGCATTCCAATGGGGAGGCATTCCAATGGGGAATTTTTTTTTCCACATGACGATGATTTCGCTGTACAGCGATTTTGACAGAATGGATTATCGTCGTCATTCGGGGCACCACTGTATGTAATTTTGGCATCAAAAGTATACACACAAAAAATTGTAGGGTCACAGATCAGTTTTAAAGTATTAGCAAAATGATGTTTGGCAATACTATGGGTACTGTGGTTGTTCATTGGCTCTTTCTCCCCCTACCTCACCCCTACAGATACTTTGTTTGCAAGAGGTGCAAGAAGACCAGTATGGAATAGAGATCAAGCCAAGTTTGGAAGCCTTAGGTATAACACATCCATTATAAGTTTTTGTTTGCATCACTTACTGTGAATAAAGGCAGAAGGCCAAACCAGACAGCCATGTGTTTGACAAATGTACTGTGTATATTGGCTCATTCGGGTATAAAACAAGCCAAGGTTCTTTTTATGTCAGAAAGAATGTGTAGAGTACTCTTGTCATGCTTACTTCCTTGTGCCCCAAAGTGAGGCGGGTTGGGGGGGGAATGCAGCAGCCGTAGGTAAGGACCTCTCCCACCTACTACTCTGTTTCTGTTGGTGTTACAAATAGACACTTCCTCTGCTCCGTGGTAGTGTCCCTCTAAAACTGCAGATGGAAGGCAGTTAAATCTAGCTGTAGCTTTCCAGGTTGTTAGCTCTTTGGTGGAATGCGAAATTTAGACCAAAGTTCATAGGTGAGCAGATTTTGTGGAATACTGAAAATCAGTATCCTTGATCTGCTTTTCTAGGGTAGACTTGAACTGTCTTGAGTTCATGAGTGTGTAGGAAATCCATGGAGAGACCTAAGAGATGCAGTTTAGTGGGAAAGATTTTTAGCCAGGAACTAGTGTAGATGTCTGTCTTTCTGGAGAAAATGTAAATATCCTGCCGAAGTGTCAGCGTGTAACACTTTGATCCAGTATCTAAAGGTACGCAGCCAGGCAGTACATTCCATTGAAGAGATACCAGCCTCAAGTCGTAAACCTGCTGCGGAGACACATCTTGGCATTCCAAAGATATACCTTAAAAGTTGCAATGACACTCTCAATGTTTCAATGAAAGCCTAGGATCCAGATTGGATTTCCATATAATAGTTGAGACAAGATCTTGGCCTTGAATACCAGAATGGCAGCAGATGTAAATTGCCCCCCAACTTGGTAAAGAAGAAATGGGAAATGGCCTTGGTAGTATTCTGAGCTGCCTGTATAGCAAACTGTCTATGGGGAGCCCAGGAGAGATTGTGGTGAAACCAGATGCCCAAATATTTTAACTCTTTAACTTGATCAATGTGGTGACCATTGATTATCCACTTTTTTAGTGCTACTTGCCTGTTAAAGACCGTGATTTTTGTTTTACTGATATATAAGGTCAGCTGATTGTTCTTGCAGTAGTCCATGAATAGTTGCATTAAACATTTGAGGCCAATTTCCGATAATGATAGCAGGATAGCGTCATCTGCATACAAAAGTAGGGGGCATTTGGTCTCTGCCAAACTCAGAGGATGAAAATCTGGTGCAAAGCAACTCTGAATCATGTCATTTAAATAAAAATTAGATAATGTGGGAGCCAATGTACAGCCTTGACAGACCCCTCTGGAGGCAGAGACGGGTTTTGTTAGGTTTCTTTCTATCCCACATCTTACACAGAGAGTGGTACATTGGTAAAGGCTTTTGATAAGATAGAGTAGTCTCTCATCAATGGAAGTATGAGACAGCTGAGATTCTGGTACAGAATCAAAGGCAGATTTTAGATCTAGAAATGCGATAATCCATTGCCATGAGAGATCATGTATTTCTCAGATAGATGGTTGAAGAGAATGCAATTATCTGTTGTGGATCTGCCTATCATCAGAGAAGAAAAATGCTGTTCCCAGATATCTGCTGGGATATTACAATACAGTAAGTTTGAAGAGGGACCTAGGGCATCGGTCATAAGAGCCCACAAGAGTTTGAAATTTCTATTTAGTGAGGATTCTATCAGTGCATTCCATCTCTCCTAGGTTGCTTGGCCAAGTTTCTTTGTTCTGCACAGAGAACAAGAAAGGACATTCTTGCCTGTGCTTTATAATATTTAATGTTTTACAGCTGAATCTACTTAATTTTAAATTGTTTTAAATCATTCTTGAAATTTTAAATGTATTTTATTGGGTCAGTGACCGCAAAATAAATACTGTACTACTACCCTGTTTCCCCAAAAATAAGCCCTAACCTGAAAATAAGCCCGAGTAGGATTTTTCAGGATGCTCGTAATATAAGCCCTACCCCAAAATAAGCCCTTAGTTAAGTGCAACCCCGCCCTACACCATTGTGCAGCAACCAGAAGATGACAAGACTATATTTGAATAAATGTAGATTGTTGTACATTAAAAAATAAGTCCTAACACTTTTTTTGGACCAAAATTAATATAAGACCCTGTCTTATTTTTGGGGGAAACAGGGTACTACTAATGCTGTTGCTTCCTCTGCTCCATAAGGCATAGAAACCAGCAACTGTCTGTTAGGCAGAGGATCATTCAGTTTACTTAGAATATGAAGAAGAAAGCTGCCAAAATGAGCTGAAACTTAGAAGGAAGAGGGGCATCATTATGGTAGAAAAGAAAACAAGAGCCCTGAAGGTACAATAGGGATGTGTACATTGTCAGAGCTCGTGTCATCAGACGGAACAAATAACCCCCAAGTATTTTGGTTCTGTATTGCTCAATTCTTTTGATAGCTGAACTGTATGTGTGTTATGGTACCGGAGCTGGCCAAAACAAAAGTTCTGAGGACATTACTGGATAAGAGGTGGGTCTTCTCAATGAGCATCTGCAAAGAAATGGGTTCAGTAAGGAGTCCTGTGGTGCAGTGGTAAACAGCAGTACTGCGGCCGAAACTGCTCACAACCTGGGTTCAATCCCACGTAGCCAGCTTGAGGTTCATTCAGCCTTCCATGGAGGAGGAGGGCAATGTGTAGCCTGCATAATTCAACTGTAAACCACCCAGAGCACTGTGGGGAAGTGTATAAGCAGCACTCTTTGCTTCTTTTGCTTTTACTACTCTGAGAAACAGGGTTTTATCCAATAAGCATCAGCAAGGTTCTTACAGCTGTGTGTAGATTCACCTCCGCATTCGTAGGAGAAGTCACAGAAGACTTCAGTGTCTCTGAAACCATCTTTATAGCCCTGTGAGCAACTCTATGACTACATATCTGAGATGGCAGCAGGGAAACATCACACGTGAGCCTACACCTGTGGGTGCAACCAACCGGTATTTTAAAATGTGAAGACTGGAGGGTGCCCTCCATTCCTCCAAAATGCCTTTTTTATTCAAGCCATTCTCGGCAAACATCCAAAGAAAGCAATGAGTGTCTTCTTACTGATGCTGGCAGGGAGCATTCCCCCCCCCCCAAGATATCACTCAAGCTTCTTTCATACAGCCTTTCAAAACTGCATTCTGGTGAAATTGTGGAGTGCTAAATGTTTCCTAATGTGATGATTGGTAAGGACAGGACAGCATCCCCATAAAATAGTCCCAATTGTAAATCTTCTGCAGGGTGCTGTTGTAAGGGAGGGTACATTTTGAGGCCCACTTGCAGTAACTATGAATTGAGGGTGTAGCCAATGGACCTTCCTAAACTGAAGCACCCCAGAACATGCCTCAGTCCACTGTGATGTGTGAAGCTTCCATATCAAATATTCAGGAGTTTCAAAGCAAATGAGATGATGCTAGAAAACTGTTCTCTGGAAGCAAAAAAGTATGAAAACCCTTGATGTAGTGGATAGTGTTGGAGCTCAAACACAACCCTTTGTGCTCTGTCTGGAAGAATGAATAGAATAGTATACAGAGAAATAATTAGATTTATGAGGTAGACCAATGCCAGAAAATTAGATGTAGCAAAGAGAGACAGAGAGAGCAAAAACTGATGGCACCCTTACAGTTTATCTGATTTTTATTGTGACAAGAGGAGAAGGGAGTCACACTCTCCGTTCTTTGTGTATGAACACACGTGAGGGGCTACACAGTCTGCTCAACCCCCAGCGTGCCCATCTATGTGTTTATCCACAGTGCAAAGGGACTCTACATGCAGACAGTTGTATGTACATGGACCTTCTCCATGCGAGGGGAGCTATCAGGTTTTCCTGTAGTGGAAAAAGAAATTCTGAACAGATGGTACTTATCCTGAGGCTTCTGTTTTCTGTAGTGTGAGAAGGACATTCTGAACAGACAGATCATCCCTCCTTGCTTCCAACAGGCAGGAACTTTAATCAATCAGATGATGCCAGAGTTCAGTCAAGAGGAGGGGGAAGAAGCCTACATTATTCAGATTTTATAGGCAGCTTCCAGAAAAATAAAAAGAGAAAGGGAACATTTCCAGAAAGAAAAGGATCCAGGAGTCTCCCTGACATGACTTAGACCTTCCAGCAAAGATAGGCTGGATGTCCTCCTTTCACTACAGAAAAAGAATATATCATGGTAAGTACCAATCTTCCTTTTTTTCTGTAGTGGAGCAGGACATCCTGAACAGATGGACTTATTAAAGCCTCAAGTCATAAAGCAGGAGTTTAAAATGTCTAGCTATATCTGATATGATCACAACCTAAGCTGTTACATGTTGCAGCAATCATGGTGGAAAGGTGAGATGACACAAGCTGAAGATGGCCTGAGAACTAAGTCTCTGCAGAGTGAAGGCATAAACTGAAAACTGCAAACCGGCAAAACCGATTCAGTCTGGATTGTCTTCCTCCTCTTTGGGGAGCTCTGGCATGATCTGGTTAACCAGTTCCTACCTGTCAAAGCAAATAGAAAGGACATCCTGTCCAGGCTGTCGCTCTCTCACAATAACAAACAGATATCTCAGGGTAATTATCAGTGTTACTTTCCACCCTGGTGTGGAGCAGCTCTACACAAAAACACAAACAGCAGGACGGATGGACACACAGCCCTTTCATGTGGCAGCGTCTAGCCATTGTGTATCGGTCAGGCAAGGGCTACCCTGTAACCTCCATCACATGTTCTTTCACTATTCAGGGGAATTGGATGGAACTGCTCACCACTGTGGGCTTTTGAAACGGCAGTCTGTTTCTTTAGTAGCCCAGAGTAAACAGGGAATGTGGTTAGAAGAACTATATTGTCAAGAGAGTTAACATTAACATGAAGCCTAAAGATAGCATAACACTGTGCTCACTATAGCCATGGTCCTGAATGATATTAGAGTGAACTCAATACTGAACCCATTACAGAAATGTGTGTACGTATTCTTTTTGCTTAAGGTATCTGGCCAGGAACAGTCTCCAAGGGGCAACAGAACCCTTACTATTCCTATTTGGCCTCAAAGCCTTGGCATTTCTCAGGACTGTATGTATGAGGAACAACAGAAGCAACTGGAAAAAGAAAGAGGTAAATTATTGTACTGAAACTTGGATTGGCTTCCTGAAAATGTGACTTGGTTTCAGACATGTTGACAATGAAACATGAGAGGCTGACAACTAAAAACATAAATTAACTAAGAATGCATCAGCACTTGAAAGATTTTTAGGTGTTTGCAGAAGCATTGAAAGTGAGTTCAAGTCGCATCAGCGGAGAATACAGATCATAGTTTTTATGGCCAAGCAACTGCCAATCAGTTCATGTGCAGGTTTTGGTAGACAAGGAACAGCCATAGTACAGCGGGGGTTCTCCTGTGCAAGAGAGGATTTGTACATATGTGGTACACATCCTGGTTCTCCTTTGCAAGTAGAACAGGGGAGAGAATCCTCTGGCACTGGGGCCAAATCCTGGTGCTCCAATGTTGCCCTTTAGGCTTCTCTAGATGATTCAGCCATTCCTTATGACCGTAATTCTGTAGTTTCCCATGAGGTTTTTTTTTTATCCCCATATTAAATCATCGAATTGCTTCTGCTAAAGTTTAATTAACAGCTTTAGCAGAGGCTAAAGAGAGGCTGATGACTAAATATAGCTTTATGGTTATGGTTTTGATCCTAATTTAATTTCTTCTGAGTTTGAATTTGATCTTTGAGCTGAAAAAGGTCCCCCATCCTTGGGGAAGATGTTTCCAGGCTATTATCTCTCATAATCAGGGCTGTATCACATCTGGATCCAGCAAAAACAAACAATGTCTGCCTGGACCCTGAACAGTGGCTGTGAGCTAAGAGTGGATGATGTTGGGACAGATGAACAAAGAGTTTGATATAGTTTAAGGCAGATTCTTCTATTCCTGTCTTTTGAGTAAACTGTTCTGGGTCTCCCTTATTCCAGAGAAAGAGGAAATTAAAGAAGAAGGTTTGAAAAATTCAGAGGAGATCTTAATAGTAGAAAAAAGGTAAATTCTTACAATTATGTGTTTTTGTTAGACTTGCTATACTAAGGAAGCAGAACTCTTAACTGTACCTAAAAATTGTGGCAGTTTTATTTTTTCTAATGTAATGTGATACATGAATTCTAAGCTGAATTGTAGTTCAGTTTTAACATGCTCAGGCTGTTGTACTCCCCTCTCCTCCTTCATTTATTTATTTATTTATTTATTTTTAATTTATATCCCGCCTATCTAGTCCCGAAGGACTACTCATTCCTTACTAACAAAGAAATGTGAATATTTGGACAGCCATTTTAGCCAGTAAGGAGTTCCATATTTGCTACTATTTCTAATGAATTGCAGGTAATTGTTCTATCCCATGGAAGGACAACTGTGGCTTTCTAGACATTTTGGCCAATTGTCCCAGCCAATAATCACTGGATCACTGGAATTTTAGGCGACTACTGCTGCACTACGGTCTATCCAAACAAGTCTTTGAATGGGAGTTCTAAGTTGACTTACTCAGATAGGCCGTTATTGAAACTAACCACTGTTAATCCAGGTTCAGTTCTAATGACATACTTAGAGCCACCCTAGAAGAAGAGAAGGCAGGGGTGAGCACACAAGCCTTCCACATTATACAAAACTGTGGCTTAACATTAGATATGTTATAATCACTCTGAGTGAACATTTGAAACAGTATAGATTTGTAAATATGATCTCATCTGTCATCTTGTATGAGTTATGCCATTATTTCTCAACCACTGTGTCCCTTTTTAGGTTGCCCACAGATTTACACCACAGTTTTCGATTATCTTCAGTTTATTCACATTATTTGCCTGAGAGTGGAGTTCCAGAAATAACAACTTGCCACTCAAGAAGTGCGGTGACTGTGGATTACATCTTCTATTCTGCAACAGAGGACAGCGAGAACAAGGAACCAGGTGATGAAATGAATAGCAAATATTTGACTGAATTTGGCTTATTCTTTCTCAGCCTGCAGGAGGGTTACCAGTAATCCAGCAAATTAGATATCCTTGAAAGTAGATGTGTGTGATGTCTATGACCACGTGTAGCTTCCACATTTTTAATTACTGCAGAATAGGGAAGGATGGGAATTGATTTGGATGCTCGCTCTTCCTTGATTTTCAGTGCTGACTGAGAAAACAAGTGATGCCCCAGTATTAGCTTTCATGCTGACTTCCTGAATCTTACCAGTAGGTTATTACCACTCATTTGGTAACCAGAATCACTAATTAATGAGCTGCTGTTGCCATATGGCTCTTGCATTATCAGTTGCAGAGCTGGCACCTCATTCATTAGCTGCAGTTTGCTGCTGTGACTTATGGGATTTCATTTATGCACGTGAAAATTGCCAGTAAGATTCTGACAAATGATTTGCAAATCACTGACATGTACCCCTACCAGAAATACCAAGGTTTCAAGGAAGGCATATTTAGTTGCAGGATGGTGGACATATTTAGAATAAAAATAATTATTTATTAATATGGGGGGGGACATATTTAGAATAACATTTTTTTCTTATTTTGTTTCTTTGAAAACAAAAAAATAATGTATTGTATTCTCGAAGCTTTCACGGCCAGGATCCAATGGTTGTTGTGGGTTTTCCGGGCCATTTGGCTGTGTTCTTAAGGTTTTTCTTCCTAACATTTCGCCAGTCTCTGTGGCCGGCATCTTCAGAGGACAGGAATCAGAACTCTGTGTGTGGGCAGCCCCTTCAGCCCAGTTATAGCAAACTTGTACATGGAACATTTTGAAAAACAGGCCCTGGCTTCGGCACCCCTTGAACCCACAGTCTGGCTCCAATACGTGGATGACACCTTCACAATTTGGAACCATGGTGAAGAAAAACTGGAAGAATTTCTAAACCATCTCAGCAGCATCCACCCAAATATAAAATTCACCATGGAAAAAGAAATAGAGGGCCAACCCCCTTTCTTAGATGTCATAGTCATACGCAAAACTGACCTATTGGGACACAAGGTCTACAGAAAACCCACACACAGTGACCGGTACCTACACAAAACTTCAACCACCGCCCATAGCAAAAAAAGAAAAGACAATCAAAACACTGGTAGACTGCAAATCAAAACTGTGAAGCTCACTTTCTCAGCACTGAACTCAACCATCTGAATTGGGCCTTACAGGCAAATGGCTACTCCAAAAATGAAATCAAAAGAGCCATCAAACCAAGAAAACAATACCAAACTGAAGAGGAAAAACAGCCACCCACAAATAAAATATTTCTGCCATACATCAAAGGGGTCACGGACTGCATGGGGAAACTTGAAAAAACACAACCTACAAACAGTATTCAGACCCATCACAAAAATACAACAAATGTTACGGTCAGCAAAGGACAAAAGAGACCCCCTCACCACTGCAGGAGTATACTGGATACCTTGCAGTTGTGGACAGGTTTATACTGAAACCACAAAACACAGCATTCACACCAGAATCAAAGAAGAGAGGGACACTGCAGACTAAAACAACCAGAAAAATTGGCAGTAGCTGAACATTGCCCTAAAACAAGTTAGACATGAAATTCTGTTTCAAAATACTGAACTACTGGACAACACCAGCAATCATTATGTTAGACTGCACAAGGAAGCCATTGAAATAGGCAAATACCAGCAGAGATTCAACAAAAAAGAACAAGGTTTAAAACTCAACAAAGCCTGACTCCCAGCACTGAAAAATACAGCCTGCAAAAGGTCAATGAACTCTACCCAGCCACAAGGACCGGGGATCACTACACTCAAAAGACCGGCTAACAACACCCATCAATCACAGTGACAGATCATCTCTCCCACTTAGCACAACAATACACCCACAACAAAAACATGCTGAACACCTTAATCACCCAATCTCCTGAAAAGGAGAAAAGCTGATCTCACAGCTATAAATACTCAACTATCCAACAAACTGCAACAGAGCACAGAGAGAGAGTTCTGACTCATGTCCTCTGAAGATGCTGGCCACAGAGACTGGTGAAACGTTAGGAAGAAAAACCTTAAGAACACTGCCAAACAGCCTGGAAAACCCACAACAACAATAATGTATTTCTTGAGATTTTTATATTTCTTGAAAGAGGACAAGGATTTTAAAGGTTTTAAGAAATCAGTAGCTGTTTTCAGGCAGCACCCAGGAAACGCCATGTTTGTTTCATGATCTTTCTTAAGCTCTGCTCCTTGCACTCTTCTGTTCTAGTGTTGCCAACTCATTAAAATTAAATTAACCTGGCTTGCTTATATGTATGTGCCATAAGCTTGAACCTTTTCAGTGTATGGAGAGAACCCATGTAAAATTTTGTAATCTAAGCTGCTATTGCAACCAGTGAAATAGGGATCCAAAGAGGTAAGGAGAGGCAGTTTCCAGTTCTTTTGTGTTTTATTTTGATGCAGTTTTAAGTGTTAGACTTGAATGCACCATTGTTATTTTAACTTTCAATGATTTGTTCCAGATACAGGGTGACATGGTTGAACTCTAATGATGATGACAATGCTACCTTTCTGTCTAGTACTAGTAGTTCCTTCAGTAAGTCACCAGATGGCATCAGAATGTTATAATACGCCTTCAAACAGATTTTCTTTAAGGATATAGGAGTACTTAGACTACATTAAGGAAAACTTAAGATTAAACTACACCAGGAAAATTGGTGATAAATAGGTGAAAAGTATAAGAAGCAAGGAGAGCACAACTTTTACCCATGCTGTTGTGATGAAACTCTCAGTGGCCAAAGACCAGCCATGTTCCTCCAACACGAGAGAAGGCTGTCTCTTTCTCTCATGCTTTCTCTCTCATATTAAGGAAGCTTACAATAACTGAGCTATAAATTAGGAAAGCCCAGTCTTCATCTCATTTTTTCTTTGAACTCACACATAAGCCTGAGCAACCCGGAGAATCTGATAGCCCAATCTCTCCACCCTCTTCTGCAGTGTGAAGGGATAACAACACTGACGTCCTGCAATGCTCCATATGTTCTGTGACTCCGATTTTCATTATCCCTAGCTATTAACCATGTTTGCTGTGACAGATGGATACTGGGATTTCACTGGCATGGGAAGGATCTGTTCTGCCTTACATTGCAGCAAGGAGTATTACAGCTAGAGTGTGTAAATGAACCTTTTGTGTACACTGAAAAGTACAATATACAGTAAGCTTGTTATGTTGGGTCAAAGTTTCTTCCACTAGAGAGAGGTGCCTGACCATCAAACCTGCCTATGAGTGCATTGCAATAAATCCAGATCCTCACACCTTCACCATTCTGCTGTAGTTGCACTAGCTTATACAGAGCAAAAGCTGGATCTACAATTACAGTACTTGCATATTTATTTATTTATTTATTTATTTGATTTATTTGATTTATATGCCGCCCACTCTACCCAAAGGTCTCTGGGCGGCTCACAACAACCAAAATTCAATGCAGTAAAACAAAATGATTAAAATACAGTTAAAATACAATTAAAATACAATTAAAAAATACAATTAAAATTGCCATCATTAAGACCCACAGTTAATGTTATTTCAATTAAAAGCCTTCTGGAACAGGAAGGTTTTGACCTGGCGCCGAAATATCATCAGTGTCGGCGCCAGGCGAATTTCAGTTGGGAGGGCGTTCCATAGTCTGGGGGCAGCTGCCGAGAAGGCCCTTTGTCTACAAGCCATCCCTCTTACCTCCTTGAGGGATGGCTCTTTCAAAAGGGCCCCCTGGCAAGATCTTAACAGCCTGGTAGGCTCTTATGGAAGTCTCCAAGCACTTCTGAAAGCCACTTTTTTCTCTTACAGGAACCAAGCCTGTTTTTGATGGAGGCCTCAGTCTTCTTGGCAGATTATCGCTGGTGACTGAGCAAGATCTGTGGGCAGTCAATGGGCTTCCCAATGAAACCAGCTCTTCTGACCATCTCCCTCTCCTGGCTAAGTTTAGGCTGGAAGAATAACACCCTGATCATTAAAATGGGTCATGTCTGCCCTCCCCTCCCCGGGCTCCTTTCACTTCTACAACAGGAAAGGACTGGCAAAGGCATGCCTCCTTGGAGGATTTTAAAAACTATTTTGTAAATTATTAGCAGCACTTGGATGAAGAAGTGAACTAGTTTTACATTGGGATTTTTTTTAATAATGAAAAGTATTTGTGCTGTATTTTTTTACGAAGTTTATTTGCTTTTTACAAAGATGCCATAAAGTGTTTTTAAACATATAAACAGTGATCCAATTTGTATTCATTCTTTAGTCTGATAGACTTTCTTTCAATCGTTATTGTGGGTTTTCTGGGCTGTTTGGCTGTGTTCTTAAGGTTTTTCTTCCTAACATTTCGCCAGTCTCTGTGTTGAAGCTCTGCTGGTGTTTGTGGATTTCAGTGGCTTCCCTGTGCAGTCTAACATAATGATTGCTGGTGTTGTCCAGTATTTCAGTATTTAGAATTTCATGTCCAGCTTGTTTTAGGGCATGTCCAGCTACTGCCGATCCTTTCTTTCATTCCTTTGTGGAAATTTTTTTATTTTTATTTTATTTTTCAGTATTGTATTGGGTCCAAATGGCTATTTGGACATTCTTTTGAAAGAGATGAGTGTCAGTATATTTTACTTCCTTTTTTCCCAGTAGCTCAATGAGATGGACAACAGAATCTGGCCTTTCATTTTCAGCTCTCTGTTTGGATTTGAACATGAATTTCTAATACCCCAATCTGGTACTGTTTTGCCCCATGTTCCCCAAATATCTGATTATCTTGCCACCAGACAGCCCTGTGTTTAAGCACTAGCACGATTGCCATGGATGGCCAGAGATTTAATATTATCAAAATCATGGAATTTTGTGCAGGCAAAACAAAGAGAGAAATGAACATTTCTTTCTTTTATTCATTGCATTTATATCCTGCCTTTCTTCTAGTGAGCTCACGGTGGCATAAATGGCTCTCTTCCTCCCCAGGAAGGGTCAAAACTGGGAAACAGAGCAACCAGACCACAATCAGTCTTACAATATGAGACACATAATATTTGCAAGACACCTACGACTATGTTGCTTACCCTTTGTAATGAACAGACATGCTTCTATTCTGTTTGATAGGCAGAATTTTACAAGGCCGGCTTCCAGTTTCACATTTTGCACTTGCAGGTTTGAAATGACCCTGTGAGCATCTCTGCAGAGGAGGGCCATTGTTTAATGGCAGGCAGCTATATATACACGGAAGACCCCAGGATCAGTCCTTGGCATCCTCATTAAAATTCACATCTGAGACTGCATTATAATGGATGATACCATTGATCTATTTCACTCTGGCGGCAGTAGCTTTCCAGGGAGGTTTCTGAAAACTTTTAGATCACGGGTGGGTCATTTGCAGCCTTTTAGATGTTAATAGGTTATAACTCCCATAATTCTACACCACAACTTTTCTGTCTAGAGCTGATGGAAATTGTAACCCATCATCTATAGCAGTGGTTTCCAACCTTGGGGACTGCAGGTATTGGACCACAATTCCCAGAAAACCTGGCCAGCACAAGTAGTGATGAAGGCTTCTGGGAATTGCGGTCCAAGAACCACCTGGGTTACCTGAAGTTGGGAACCACTGATCTAGAGGGCTACTAGTTTTCCACCACTGTTTTGAGACAAATAATGTGATGGAGTTAATCCGAGGGCTTTTCCGATCCCTTTAACAAAAATTATGTTTCTAATGGGCTTTGGCTGTCAGCTTAAAAAGAGGCTAATTAAATATCAAGAGACAGGAACCCCTGGGAAGTAGGCAGAGACCCACAGTCCTTTCTAACTTTTTGGCTGCCATAATAGCTAAGAGAAACAGAATAAAGTGTACTAATCAACATATACTGTAAAGTATATGCAAGTTGCAAAATTCTCTTTTCTGTGTGAGTGCTGCAGTACCGGGATTTCTCTGAAAATACAAAACCTTATACAAAAGCCAAGACGCAACATGATTTTTAGTTCTGTTCTTAGTAAGCAGGACTTTAAAGGGCACAAGAATGGGAGGGGGCACAGGCTCACCACTTCACCACTTCCTTTGGAATGAACCTCCTGAATTCCCTGTTCGTCTGCTGCTGCTGCTGCTGCTCCTCTTATTCATCTAAACTTCATGAACTAATAAAACAATTTTGGAGCAGAGCTTTGTAAATACCCTGGACTGCCAGAAAAACAAACAAGTGGGTCCTAGATCAAGTCTGAACTATATCTGGAGGGAAAATGATGAAACTGGGGCTGTCCTACTTGGTGCACATCATGAGAAGTCAGGAATCTCTGGAAAAAGATGAAAATGCTAGTAAAGGTGGAAGGCAGGAGAAAAAGAGGAAGACCAAATATGAGATGGAATGACTCCCTAAAGCAGGGGTCCCCAATCCCCGGACCGTGGACTGGTCCCAGTCTGTGACCTTGCCAGGACCAAGCCGTGGAGACAAATCTCCCTCCCGCACACGCAGGTGCATGCATGCCCTCCCACACACACACAGCCCCTCCCATGGCCCCTCCCACGCACACACAGCCCCTCCCAGGGCCCCTCCCATGCACACACAGCCCCTCCCCTGCACACACAGACTCACACACAGCTTCTCCCATGTACACATGCTAAACCGGTCCATGGAGGCAAAAAGGTTGGGGACCACTGCCCTAAAGGAACAACAGGCTTAAGTCTGCAAGAGCTGAGCAGGGCTGCTGAGGACTGGACATTTTGGAGGTCGCTCCTGGACATTTTGGAGGAGTCTCCAGGGCAGCCCCCCAAGATATACTTCAATTATTATTATTTTAAATGACCCATATCGTCTTCTAGTGTCTTGAGAGTTTGGGAAGCAATTTTGCTTTGTTTTAGGCCCCCATTGTACCTGCCCCCTATCCCCAAACTATAATTTTTAAAAATGGCCACTGGGCAGCATGAAGAGGTGTTTCAGGTTTTTTTAAAGCCTGTTTAATTGTAGATTTTGCAAGCGGGTAGAGTGCAGAGTTCCTGCAGCCTTCTATGATCCAAAGGGTGTGTGGGACCGTTCAGTCTCTGTAAGGTGCTCATCTTCGTTGTAAAAATATATTTAGCAGTAAGGAACAGTAGAGGCATTGCAAACGGCACCGGTTGAACTCAAAGAAGCCAGAATTATTCTGGGTTAAGTTTCCTTGTGTAGCCCCTACAGTTCTTAGCTCCTGCCTATATGACTGATTTATGCCAAATAGAATAACCATGTAAAAAAAGAAAAGTGATTATAAATTAATGTGTCTAGTTTATGCAGATCACAGAATCTGGAACAGGAGGGTTGGTGCAACATCAGAGACAGAAAACAAATATATCTGTTGTTTTGCATCATGAGAGACTGTTGTTTGTGTGTTTGTGCATACGAGTAAACACATACAGAGCATGTCACTCCTTTGCAAAAACTGTTCTGCATTTATCCTGAACCTGTAAATGGAGTGACTGTAAATCTGCTTAGTGTCAGTTGTCTGCAAAAGAGAAATGAAATACAGATGAACTGTTTTTGACCTGAGCTTGAAAGATTGAGGTGCCTGTTTAAATCCTATACTTCAGAGGAACTGCTGATGCCTTTTGGAACAGCTTCCTCTGATTAATGCCTATTTGAGCACTATTTGAGTACTGGCAGAAGTGGATTGATAATAATAGGCAGAGACAAGGCAGTCGAAGGGAGGTATGGTAGCATGCACACCGTCTCTGCCTAGTGACCTATTCCATGTGGCAGCTTAGAAACAGAAAAACACTGGCCTGAAATCCATCAGAAGCTACCTTATTCTAACAACTGTTCTCTCATCTGGCCTCACATAGATGGTCCAGAGCTGGAAAATTACTAGATGCACTAATGGGTAATCAAGTCCAGTCCTCTGCCAAAGTAAGAAATCCACAGCAGCCCTGACAAATGACCCTCCGTTTCTATTGGAAATTGCTGGCTTAAAACCTCCAGCTTTGCAGTGGATAAAAAAATCCAGACAGGGGCCTATAGAGAAGACTATTATAATTACAAGTCTCCCTCAAATATACCACCCCTTATTGTACAGTTAGTTCACTTAAATTTACCTCATCTGACAATATAGTCTCAATGGATTCAGCCAGAGACTCTGGTGTTGAGAAAGAATAAAAAATGTTTCTATTTTACTCACAACTCTTTATAGATATCAAATTGACAAACACATTCACTTGTTATATAGTGTGAGATCTTAACTCATTAGCATCAATATTTGACAGCAAGAGGAGAAGGGGACGACTGAGGATGAGATGGCTGGACAGTGTCTGCGAAGCAACCAACATGAATTTGACACAACTCCGGGAGGCAGTGGAGGATAGGAGGGCCTGACGTGCTCTGGTCCATGGGGTCACGAAGAGTCGGACACGACTAAACGACTAAAATGAACGAATCATTATTTGACTAACTGGCTGGTTACATAAACATTTCACTCAGAGTCTAATTGCTGACTTCATAACTGTAACACTTCATAATGCATACAGAACACTGCAATTGCTAACTAATACAGAATCCTGACTGAGTAAAAGGCAGGAAAAGGAATCTGAGGTAGAGAGGGAACAATTGGCTATTAGTGTGTGATGGGCATTCAAACAAATGACCCTCCCATTTAAACCTTTCAAAGACATCATGTGAAAGTATAATGCCAACAGTTTCAAAAACCACCAATGAAACCTCACAAACCCTCAAATTCCATGGCTCCCAAGCAGCACAAGCAGGCAGTAGTGTAAGCGAGCCTCTGTGAGCTGCTGGCCAAGCCACTGCACTCTGCAGCTTCCTCAGGTCAGGGAAATAGTCACACAATGGAAGGCAAGCAGGGAGAGAGAAAACTTAGCACACACAGGTGGCTTCTGGATCAGGATTGGGGCAAACTCATTCCAAAATATCAGGGAACCCTCCACCCCACCAGCTGGTCACAAGTTACCTTGATTGCCCTTATCTCATAAGAGTTCTTGGTAGGATTCTGGCCCATATCGATTTTTTAAAAAAATCACAGAAGGCTATATTTTTTTTAAAAAAAAGTCTTCCAAGACATTTTATTAAAGGTCCATGCGCCACTAAACATACAAATAATGAGAAAAGCAAAAAAAGCATGCATGTTTCTTATCCAGAACAGAACAGCATTTGATAAAGTGATGGCAATAGACACCTAGTCATCGAAATCAGTTTTTCAGATTTAAAAAAATTGTAGGTCTGTGTTGCAATAGGATTTGGGTTCACCTATACATAAGGGAAACAACACAACACCTGGATACAAAATAATTCACCCATAGTAGAAAAGCGTTCAGCTATGGAAGGGATCTGGAATGAAGGGCAAAACACAAGGATAGCTTTTTCCTGCATCGCTCCCCTTAGTCTCAAGAGAAATAAGGAAAAGAGGAGTACAGACGGATTGTGCCCCAAGTGCTTCCAACAAGCCAGAGCAGTAGTTCCCTACTTTGATTTCCCAGATGTTCTAGGACTACGACTCCTAGCAATCCTGGCCAGCACAGCTAGTGGCAAAGGCTTCTGAGAGTTGTAGTCCAAGAACATCTGGGGACAACTTGACTGGAGACAGACAGTGAAATACTTTAGAAACAGAAGAAACTCAAGCGATTTCTGAACAGCTCTTGGGGTTTTGTGATACAGTCCATTTACAAAAGGAAAGAAATCCAAATTTTAAGCGGGAGGATGACTTAAAATCACTGCAATCAGAAAAAGGTCACATTCATTGGCATTCAATAGGTGCTGAACACTCACCTTAAAACAAAACAAAAAACTCTCCTTGTTTAAATTTTCAAAATGACTTTGAATTATCCAAAGCTTGAAAATGTTGCTTTTTTTGGACTACAGCTCCCAAAATCCACAGAAGCAGCCAGCTATATTGTGTGGAAAAGGACAGAGGCAGGTCTGTGTTGCAATAGGATTGGAACACCATTAGTTCCAATTCTCATTGCTAGCCTTGGTTTCAGGTTGCATATGTCCTGGCACAAATCATGGTTCACTTGTTAACCAGACACTATAATGATGCTTTGAACTTGGCCAGTGGACTCTACCATGATTCTGGCATTCAATGCAAGGGCTGAATCGAAACCTGTGGGCAGAGGGTGCAGGCAAGCACCGCCCCTTCTGTCCTGACTGTAACATGTGGAGAGCTAAATCTGAAGAGCAGTCTATCCATGGGTAACTCCACATGATCAGGAGCCCTGGTTTTTCAGGGCTTCCGATGGTACGGAGAGCACCCACAGATACAGAATGCTCTTTTCAGGTTTAGCTCTCCCCATGGGAAGAGCTCAGACAGAGAGTGCCGCATGAGCCTGCTTCTGCTCTTTGTAGATTTGAATGAATGCTTTAATGAGTGAATAACAGGCATGTTGTTCTCTTGTTTTGGAAGTAAGCTGGTCTGCATTAACAGTAGATTGCATCAAGACACATGTAATGAAAAAAGATGGTCTTATGGTGGAAAAGGAAGGGACGGGGCAGAAAATGAACCTGAGAGGTGAAACAGGTTATGCCTCCACAGAGCCTTTTCTTAGGCTGCAACCCTACATGTGCTTCCTCAGGATTTACTCCCACACAAACCTGTCACAGGTTCACAACTGGAGTGGCAACGTCCCAAAATCAGGGGTGGGATGGTAGCAAGGCAAGTGCTGCCACAATTTATGACAGTATAGGGTTAGAGATGAGTATCCAGAGGCAAGGCCCACTGAAATCAATGGTGTTGCCTTCCATCCGGGTACCTGGACATAGCCTTAGGACCACATGCAGCACATGGTCTGGTTCCGTGCAGGCCTCAGCCCTCTGGAAACAATGAGTTCAGGCTCATTGAGTCATTTGTCCTGTTCCCTGCAGCCTGCCAGGTGGGGAAGTAGGTGCCACAATAATTTGGATGTTTGTTGTTTTGAATAGGTTTTTGTTTTGTCATATATGGAGGGAGAAGGCATCACAGAGAACATTCTCCCACTCAGGCTATGTGAGGAACACTACAAGCCTTTGGGACAAAGCAATCCCAGTCCCTAAACCGAACCCATGCTTAGCTCTGAAGGTCCAGTCCCCAAAACAAAAGCAAACTAAGATACCACTTGCAGAATTGGAAAATATTGTATTAGTACTGTATAGGCAAATTATTTTAATTTCTTAAGGGAGCACCCTTTCTAATGCTGTGCTGACTTTGTGGTATGTTTCTGCCCAAAGAGCACGAAATTAAGGAGTTGAGAAAGAGAGGAAGAAAAGGGGTGCCAGAAAGAAAGAGAGCAGGAAATGGAGGCAGAATTACAGGAAAACAGAAAAGCAGGCAGACCATCAGTATGTGGTCTATGACAGTAAACTCTGAAATAATGCAGTCCTTGAAAGAAAAAAAGTTGTCTGCTGGGGCATGGGTTGCAGCCTCTGTGTCTTAGCTCTGTTTAATGGTGTTATAACTGTATCCAGCCCATGAAGATGTCCAAGAACCCACTCCTCTCTGTACCCTAATAAGCAGCTCACTGTGTTGATTTTTTTGTAATCCTTCAATCAAGAAGCAAAGGTATCATAGCTTCATTCTAAAATAATCATGTTTTGGTTGTGAATACATTCCTTCATTCAGTCTTGTGTGTGTGTGTGTGTGTGTGTGTGTGTGAGAGAGAGAGAGAGAGAGAGAGAGTGAGTGTGATGTACTGGAGTCCTTGTTCTGACTTATGGCCACCCCAGTAGGGTTTCTGAGGTATGAGAGATATTGAAGGAATAGTTTTACCAGTTTCATCCTGAGGTGAATTTCCTGGAATGAGCAGGGATTTGAATCCAGGTCTCCTGAGTCCTTGTCCCACTACGCTATACTGGCTGTGTGCTATCCACACCGGTGACTATTTTGTCCAAACACACTGGTCTTAATATCAGGCTGGACATCTGATCTAATACAAGATGACACCATTGATGGGGAGTGTCAATCCTTTTGAAAATGATAATGATGATAATGATGATCAAGGAGAAGAAGAGTACATTCTTAAGGGAAGCCGATAAATTCTGACACTGTTTTTTAAAAGGTTCAGCACATAATTTTACTGTTACTACAATACACGAGTACAAAACAATGCTGTCTAGTTCTTCAGCATGATCCAACGTTCACTTGGGCTCTACGAAAACATGAGGGGTCAGTGGCCAGTTCTTCTCTACTCTAGGGAACACTCTCCAAGCATAATGGGGGATCCCCGTTATGTATGTAGAGCATTTCCATGATGCACAGAAAAGACATGAGTTGTACCTCCCCACTCAGAGCTCCACATAAACCTCAGGGCCCAAGGATCTACGCTAGAACCCATGGATCATTCCACTTGTGCTTCAAGACCATAGCCTGTGAAGGTTAAAAGCATTTGATGAAAATTTTTAATGGTTTTTCTTTTTTAAAAAAAGTTTTTTGTTGTTTTTTAAATAATTGTCAGTCATTTTACAGACAAGCCGTTAACCTCAACAGCATTCCTGGCGTTAAGATTTCAGTGCTTTGAAGAAGACACTTGCATATCATGATACTTGTAATCTTTCATCCTACACATGAACAGATGGGAAATAAGGCGTTAAGGGTTAGGGTAGGATGAATCAATGCTCTGCTACCAGAAAGGCTGGGATCACAGTACAAATCCATTACAAAATTAAAACACTGTCAGTTTTGCATATCTGTTTGTAAAGATTTTTGAGGTAATATTGATATTCTGAAGGGGGGGAAACAAGCCCTCTTGCGTTAACTTCTGGGTTGCTGTTTTTATTGCTGAATGTCCCACTAAGCACTGGAGGAGACCCAGCCTGCCAGTCAAAAATCTCTTAGGCTGAGCTCCATTAAAACCAACACCATTTTAATAAATCCCCTTTTTTTCAATGGGGCTTGTACAAGGCAGGTTCCAGATGAATTCTGCCTTTCTTGGACTTGACATAGCACACCCCAGATATTTCAAAATCCACGAAGAAATATACTTTCATTGTTGCCACTCCTAAATCCTACAGACTTTACACAATGTTCCAAAGCTAATGCAAAATAGCCACTACAAAAACCATGATATCAATCCGAATGAAAACCAAGCCACACAATCAGTTCCCATCTTAGACACAATGGAGAATAAAAAACCATTATTATAGGCAAAGACTTTTTATATATATAACTTCTGTTTTCCTTGATTCCACTTCATGAATTGAAAAAAAAATTAAAAATCAAAAATTTCACCACAATCACAGCCGGGATTCCTAATTTCTAGATGAAAACATAATGTCAAATCCTTAACGTTCATAATAAATATTTGCAGTTCCCTTTTCCCCTCCATCTTTGTCCACAGATCACAGGGTAAAGTGCAGTAAGAAGCACCTTGGAAGCCAACTGGTTCGGCCTCGAATCTTCTCAGATGCGTAGCTGGTAACCGACTTCATTCAGTGTAGAGAGTTCGCTCACTTTCTTGTCCAGCGCAGCCGGCCTGGAGTCAAAATGGGGTGAGGGAAACAAAGGTTAAAGGTCAAGATCAATCCATAGGAATCCTCAAAAGCAAAACCACATGCTAAAAATATGTCTGTATGATTAATTCTCCTCTAGCTGGTAAATGCTGAATCAGTGCTATTAATATTCTAGACGATTCTGAAACAGCCAAACTATATGATCAAAACACCAAGGTTGCAAGCCAAGCCACATGATCTAAACCCCTCAGGGGGTCTAAACTCCTAAGGCCAGATGTGTAGGAGCTGGGAAAGGGAGAGACAGATATACAAAGCATTAGATTAAACCTGCAATAAACCACTTGACCACAAGCTAAGGGGTTTAGTTCAGTTTGGGGTATCATTGTTGCAACTTAGGGGTATCATTGTTGCAACCTCCTCTCTTTTCACACACATTGTTACCGGTATTTGCGGATTTTCCCAAAAGTAATATTTTCTGGGGAGACAAAAGACTGCAAATGGCTTTTCACCTGCATTTATATGACAGGCCTACCAAAAAAATCCTTATTCCCCAACAGACCCAGCAAACTCTTGGAAGATATACCTCGGCTAGTAGATGACTGCCATATGGCCGAAAACCAAGCACAGAATTCTAGCTCCAGTCCTCTGAAGATGCCGGCCACAGAGAGTGGTGAAACGTTAGGAAGAACAACCTTCAGAACACGGCCAAAGAGCCCAAAAAACCCACAACAACCATTTTTATGAAATTTGACAGCAGCATGGGGGCCATATGGCCAAGAGGTTAGAGCTAAACAGGGTAATTTGCATTATTACTGTTATGATTGGTGCTGTTGTCTGTTATTTTTATTATTATCAAAGCAACGGATATGTGCAATAAAGGTTGCTATACATGAGTTTGTTAACAAAAAATGAGTTTAACTGTAAAGAAATGCATCTTCAATGACAAAAGCCCCCTTGCACCCTCTAGTGGTCAGAAATATATTTTAAAATTAACAGTTTTTAAATGAAGTATAGGAAGCTCAAGGATTGTTTGGGTCCTTCAGAACAGAGTTAATTGCCCCTGTGCCACCTTGAGGGTGTGAAAGAGCTTTCTCAGCATATAGGGCAAACATATTTTATACATGAATTGCACATATATATCCATGCATGGACTCACACACATGTATTGCTCCTCCCGTCCTAAAGATGCTTTATTTAAAAGTAGCATCTGATTTAACAAGTGCCCTGTGCTGGATTGAGGGGGGCGGAACTCAGAAATTAGCTTCACAATTATATGCATGTCTCAATAAAAAAAAAAGTACAATTGAGTTCAATGAGACTTGCTTCCAAGAAAATGTTTTTATATTTAGTGATACTTTTTAAATAGGTACTGATCAGATTAATGTTGGCAATTTTTCAAGTTAATGTGAGCTGTTGCCCAATGCTTGAGTAAACAAACCATGACCAGTTCCCCTGGCCACTTCGGATCTCCTGTACTACTAAAACCTGATAAAAATGTGTTGATGCTTTCCCAGCCAGATTGCAATTAGAGAAAACAACCACCATATATTCCATATTCCCTCTGCACAAACCCAATCAAAACAGGAACACTCTTTGCTCTTAAACTAAAAAAAAAACCAAGGATTTTCAAAACTTCACTTGGTATCAAATGTGAAGATAATCGATTTTGTTAAGTGACATTTTCCAAACAGCTACAGCTGCAGGCTGCTGTTACTTCCAGTTCTTGAGACTGAAAATAGAAGAGGATTGCCTTGTTTCATAACCATGAAATCAGGGAGTCAAACTAGTACATGAACTAAAAGCCAAACAATCGCAGCCAACCTGTGCACAAGAAGCTTTCTGTATGCTCTCCATCAACTTTCCCAGCTTCTAACGTAATTGGTGTTGCAGGCACTGAAACGCAGACAATTTTGGTTGCCATACTGAAAAGCCTCCCTCTGGCTTTGGCAATGAATGAAATATTATTAATGAAATAACATGGAATAACAATACAATAATAAACAAAAACTGCCTTGCTCATATGTCACTAGCTCTGTGCAGATGGCTGCATTCAGCGTGCCCTGAACATAACCTGCAGGATCCCATACTTCAGAGACAGTCTCTACATTGTGAAGTGTTCAGATGATATTGCCCGATGCAATGAAAGAACACGAGGGAACAATCAAGCTGTATTTATCCCCTGCCTCCAACACACTTAGCAGCCAAGCACCCTACTGTTCACATTTTCAGAATCTGTCAGAAGGGTCTCTGTGTGCACTCTAATACATATCCATGGAGGGCAGGACCTTCAACCAGTTGGGCTCCCACCACCCCTACCCCGTTGGGGAAAAACTCACTATGGATGTATATGAGAATACCCAGACATATCAGAGTTTGGCTCGTGGGCTAGAAAGGGCTGGGTTAACATTTGCAGCACCACAACAACCTAATGACCGAAATCCTGTCCGGTAGATTCTTCTTGCGCAACAAAAATGTGTGCTCATTGTCAGTGACAGCTTGCTACTGATTAAAGACTTCCTTTTTCAACTTCATATTCACATGACTTCATCTCACTCTGTGCCAGCCATGCACACCATGAAACTGAAAAAGGGAGTTTTTAATCTGCAGCAATCTGCTGCTAACCACAGAGCTCTTCCCACTGTGTAGGCAGTACTGTGCAAGAAGATTTTGGCTAACATATTCCCCAAACATATGGAGTATCATCCAAAACTGTTCATCTTCAGTGATGTCACACCTACTTGGTGTGACTATGTGTCACACCCAAGGAGAAGGTATACAAGCACTGGATCAAGTAGAAAGGCTAAACTGATTAAACTGCCCACCTGCCTTTTCTTCAACATGCTGACAAAAGAGAGCTGATGTCCCCACCTTGATTAGTGCCCCCAAAGTATTTTAGAAGGACCCAAGGAATCAATCATCCAGCAGAGAAGTGAAGTTCCATGTTTCAGCCCCTACTTGGCAACTAAAGTATTCCAGATTCTGCACCTCACGTCTCCTGTTAAAGCAGGGGTGGTAAATTACAGGCTTGGGATCATACAGCCCCCATTGATTTTTCCATACATTCCTGGCACCACCAAAGCACCTCCTTCATACGTCCAGAATGAATTTTCTGCTCTTGATTTCAGAAGCAGCAGTTCTGCACTCAAAGGCCCAGCCTCTCCAACTCGCTCCAAAACAAACATAAACCCAAAGTGGGTATCCCCTCATTTTCTGACTCAATAGTGGTCCAGCCAGGATAGGGCCCTGGGGACAGAACATTCTGGATCATCAGAACTTGCCCACCTTTGAGTTAAGACTAGGAAAGACCTCTGCCAGGAGCCTTTGAGACTGCTGTCATTGCCAGGGCAGATCATTCTGGAAACAATGAGCCAAACTGGTAGACTTGACACAATGCTGCCCTTGCATTTGTTATACATACACACACTCCTACAAACCTAAACATTTGAAAGGAGTTCCAGAGAGAAGTAAAAGATAAAATGAATTTGGGCCCTGAGAGGGGTTTACATAACCTGCTGACAAAAAAAGCAGCGACTTAGAACAGCTTGTCACTAAGAAGCTGAAGCTTCCCTCAGAGCAAACGACAAACTGCTTATTCAGCCTTCACCTGCCAAATTATGCAGCTTGGGGAAGAGGGCAGGGAAAATGCTGAGTGAGGGCCTGCCACTTGATCTGCATTAATTAGCCTGCCAAAATAAAAAAATCATGAATGATGAGGGGAAGCAATCTTTGCAGATTTGAGTTTGGTGTGTGTGTGTGTGTGTGAGGGGGGGGTGAAACAAAGAAGTCAAAGCAGTTATTTTCCAAGGAATTTTGCTAAACCGATCCCACAGAATTTAAAGGATATGGAAAACAAATTAGTCTTCAGAAATTCAAGGGTTATAAAACCATGTTGCCCCCCCCCCCCCCGCATGAAAATGGCCAGCAGTCTTGATAAGACAACTTTTAAATTTATTTGTTTCTTCATTCATTAATCACAGTTTAAGACTACCAAACATTTTTGGGTGATATAAAATAAATCAACAATATAAAAAAGGAACAATGAAACAAGCAACTGACAACTGCACCTAATAAAATATAGATAAAACCAGGGGCAAATTAAATTGGGTTAAATTGAATTGGCCTCCTCTACTAGAGCAGATGCATTGGCCAGAATCCTCTTCGCTGGTTACATCAGTGTAAGCACAACGGTGTAACCGGCAAAGGTGAATTGCTAAAGCCATTGTTTGTATCCCTTGTCACACAGCAGGGGCATGAGTTGATGCACAACAAGGGATACATACATCCACTTGTTACCTAGCAGCACTTCATCACTGCTAACTTAAAAAGGGACCTGTTCTACACCCAAATATAGCTGGACGTCTCAGTGGTTTAGGAGCCAGTGGTTGAGAATTTGATTCCCCACTGCGTCTCCTGTGAGTACATCCAGCCCGTGTGGCCTTAGGCAAGCTGCTCAGTCGCAGGGTGTCCCCAGAAAAAGAAAATGATAAATCACTTCTGAATACTCTATAGCAGGGAAATCCTGAAAATGGACACCATACATCAGAACTGATCTGATTCTGCTCATGATTATTCAGCTGGCTGGATAACTTAGTGGTTTAGGTATCTGGCTGCAGAGCCAAATTGTTTGGAGTTTAATTCCCCACTGTATATCCCTGGAGAAGAGCCACCCTATGTAGCCTTGGGCAAGCTGCAGTGTTTCAGGACACATCTACAGGAAGGGAACAGTCAAACTTTTCTAAGTATCCCCTACCTAGGGGACCACTCCCAAAAACAGAGCAGTGGATGTTTGATCAATTGCAATACAGCAATTCTTTTGCTCCTAAGACTTATTCTACTTCCTGAAAATGACTTAAATCTTTAAACAGAATTCATATTAATGCTGAAAAGATAAAACTAAGCATTCTCTTCTAGAGAGTCAGCCATCAAAACCATTCAGTGAACATCCTACAAAAATGCTATGGATTTAAACGGCATTTAAGCATTTGCAGCTCATAAAAATAGGACTGGCTGGATAGCTCCATAAACTGGAGCACCAGAAGTCAGGAATTTAATTCTCCAGTGTGCCTTGTAGGAGGAACAGCCAGCCTGTGTAACGTTGAGTAAACTACAAAGTCTCAAAGAGCTCTCAAAGGAAGGGACTGGTAAACCATTTCGGAGTACTTTCTACCTAGAAAACCCTGGAAAGGGCTGTTCAATCAGAATTGACTTGATGGCATGGAATTACAGTGGTACCTCGGTTTACGAATGCCTCGGTTAACATAATTTTCATTTTACAAAGGAACTCCATTGAAAATAATGCCTCAGTATATGTTTTTTTTCCACAGGACGAAGGAAGTTTTCCCAGGATGCATTGTGCCTGGTGGTTTGTAGCACCGCCCCCATTCCTATGGCAATCCACATTTTGGTTTATGAATTTTTCAAATTACGTAACGTCCCGGAGAGTGCATTAAATTCATAAACCAAGGTACTACTGTATTATTATCATGAAGGACAGAGGGCAAAAGAGTTATCTTCGTCAAATGGATTCCTCCCACCACCCAGACATTTGTGTCATCCTAGCAACTGTGGAAACGGCCACCAAAACACAAAGATTAAAATATCCTCTAAAGAAGGTGTGATGAGGCAGGGAGGGGTTTGCATGGAAATGTGCAACCTGCTACCAACTATAATTATCCAAACACTACATAAGGGCAGGAACCTCGACCAAGAGACTATCCCAAGAAAGTGGTGATGCAGCTATAGCATGAATACATCACACAGAAAATAGAAACTTGTAGTTAATTCAGCAGCTGCTATGAATACTTTAGTAAGTATATTTAGTAACGGAAGGCAGTGAAATCTTTAGCTCTTGAGAGAAAACACTGAGAGCCCCTTTTAAGAGAGCTCCCTGTGAAAATATCCCTCTTCAAATATAATTATTTTGTCTTGTAGATAACGTTATATTTCATCATGGTTGTTTTCTTGCTATAATTCAGGGCTGGGGATTCAAGTCACAGGACTCGCTATCAAATCAGACAAGTCACACCAATGACTTGACTCAGATCTGACTTTTTTTTCAGTGACACAGACTCAACTCCTGACTCAGAACCAGCACATCCACCCCTCCCTTTTTTTTCTGGGGAAAAAATATGTTCAAGTAGAGACTCGAACTTGGGACCTGAGGCTCAGGATTTGGTACCAAAGACTTGGTCTTGGACTTGGGGCTCAGGCCCAAAAACCTGCCAACAACCCCGCTATAGTTTTAAGTATTTTCACACAAAGCTGTGGGTGGTAAAAGTCTGGTGAATCTTAGACGGAAAAGCCAAGTATTTGAATTGGGTTTCACATGTTTTAAAACCATTTTTAAAGGTGAGTGTACAATGCCACATGGAAATGCAGATTGCGTTGACAGGGAATTATGTTATTTTGATTTTAAAAATCAGGTATTTTATTCTTCCACCAGAGGGATGTTTACTTTTAACCCAGATGTCAAATTGATTCATCTTGAATCATTTTGGCATGTGTGAATGCTTCTCTCAGTGTAAATTGCGTCTGTGGCATTTGCCACTCACTGGTGTGCCTTTCATGCTCCCTCTCCTCTATGCCTCCTCTTTGTGTGTGTGTGTGTGTGTGTCTGTGTCCCTCCTTCACAAGTCCTTCACAGAATGACAGCCATGACAAAAAGTAGGGAAAGGGAAAGGGGTGGGGGTATAATTCATCAAAACGAGAAGACACTGAAGTGATCTGAAGTGCTGTATGAGGAGAAGCAATGTCTCCCATGTGAATGAATGGATCATTCATGTGCAAGATAGGATAGATTGCACCAAAGACAAGAGCCTTTTAAATTACGATCCAGTTCAAATTCCCCTGTCTAATCACGCCCCGAGAAAGAGACTGACTCCAAATCAGCCAGTGTGTTTTGTGGCTCAGTGGGGGAACTGAACATAGACCTCCCAAGACTCAGACTAGCACCATACTAACAGTCTCCGTAAGTAGCATTTTTGATACCTGGAGCAAGGAGCACCATCTATCACCTACTCTACCCTGGGGCATGGCTGTGCCCCTCTACTCCATGCCAAGAAAAAGGAGAAGCAGGATGTGCTGCTTTTCCAATGTTAAAGAGAAAATGTATACTTTCAAAACAAGGAAAATTAAACAGAGCTAGGAGGCATTACCATTTATCTTCCTAACACGATGAAGTAGGCTGACTTCTAGATTTTAGTGCCCTTTAAATTTTGGCGTTCTTAACAAAACCCCACTGTGCTGCCCTTCCTAAATACAGCCCTGATCTGGAGGACAGGAAGATACACATGAATTGCAAGCAGAAGATCTGTTGATCCCAGGTCACATCTGAAGGTATATAACAACAATCTTGTTCATGCTAAGGTGTTCAGTGCCTAGATGGAAAGTCAACCTACACACCAAGATGAGGTACACCATGGTAAAAAAAAGGTCAGGAAATAAAAGCAATCAACAAAATCAGTCAATAACAACACGTGGGAGGTGGTGGCGCTGTGGGCTAAACCACAGAAGCTTGTGCTGCAGGGTCAGAAGACCAAGCAGTCGTCAGATCGAATCCACGTGACGGAGTGAGCGCCCGTCGCTTGTCCCGGCTCCCGCCAACCTAGTGGTTCGAAAGCATGTAAATGTGAGTAGATTAATAGGGACCACCTCAGTGGGAAGGTAATAGCGTTCCGTGTCTAAGTCGCACTGGCCATGTGACCACGGAATATTGTCATCGGACAAAACGCTGGCTCTATGGCTTGGAAACGGGGATGAGCACCGCCCCCTAGAGTCGAACATGACTGGACAAAAATTGTCAAGGGGAACCTTTACCTTTACCTTTAAGCTAGCTTCCATTGAAACTCATTCCACTCTTGTTGATGTTTACCTCATCTGCCAATACATGACCCAATTAACAGTGCAGGGCTCAGGCTAATGATACTTACGATTTGTCTCTTCGGCAGGCCCGCCTCTGAGGGCTGGTTTGTCTTCTTCGTGGGGACAAAGACTTCCCTCGTGATCTCTGCTTGACTGGGGAATGGGCACTTGCAGGCTTCAAAATCTGCAAGAGAGACATGGACTAGTTAAGAAATGTCTCCCTTGGCATTTCAGGTAAGGGATAAAAATGTATGAAAAGTTTAAATTTTATAAAACTCCCCTGTGATTCAGTGTGTTTGCAGGGCTTCCTCTCCATTTTTGTGCAGAGAGGAACAGAAGAAACTTTTATAAACCAAATCAGGCTATTGGCCTGCCTGCCTCAGTATTTTGTACAACAGGGCTGGGAAACATGACTGCAGCTCCCACAGTAACTCACTATTAGCTGTGCTGGCTAAGGCTGGAGAGAGTTGTAGTCAAATAATATCCAGGTGGCTCTACGTTCTCCACTGCAGCAGCCAACCAGAAATTATGGTGAGGGTGTTTCTCACACCACATAGAAACACCTAGGATTAAACTCAGGTCCTTCTGAGTACAAAGCATATGATCTGGCAGTAATGGATCATATTATATTATTTAATATCTATATTATATTAATTACA